TAGGCAATGGAACTTTTGTTATCCAATTTACGTGACTTCATATTACCATCCTATTCATTTTAATGTGAACCGAACGATCTACATTGCTCAAAATCCTTATGTTAATTCCATTCAAACAAAACAAATTATAAAAAGTCAGTGGTCCCCAATGACTCTAAATCTCATACAATTTTTTTTCAGCATTAAAGACCGATGCCCCGAAGATAGCATTTCATGCTCGAGTCAGCAGCAACCTTTCACAATTCAGTCCGGGACAGACAATTATTTTTGACGATGTGTATATCAATCTTGGCAATGGCTACCTAAGAAATCGTGGTGTGTTTCGCGTTCCAATCGAAGGCATATATATCATCCTGGTCACTGTTTCCACAGACGCTAGGTCAGCACCGGATTATGAAGTCGTTCGCAATGGAACCCCAATATCCCGTGCCTCCATCGCAGCTAACACCGATATTTTTATCGGGAGTTCATGCAATGCAATTCTGTCTCTTAACGTAGGAGATGAAATATGGGCCAAAACAGGATATTATAGGTCAACTGACAAAATTCGAGGACTTTTGTTTTCCACATTTTCGGTTGGTCTCATCTCCAACTAGAGCTATGACGTTTATGCACATCGGCTGCGAGATTTAGTTAGTCATGTGACTAGCAATTAAAATGGTGCGAACGAGGTCAAAATTCATCGACGCTGTAGTTACGTCTCGTCTGACAACGGATTAAAGACAAAATCGGTGTTATGCTTGTAATTTCTGAGAAGATAAATGATATCCCTATCGATTTAATGTAATTATGGGTCAATGTAAAGTCATTTAAGTTTTCTAGGCCTTATAGTTGGCGAGTACCCTATGCCGACACCAAATGGTGTCGGCAAATTCCAAGTTTTTGATAAGGAATAGACTCTGACTCTACACCCCAACATAAAAAACTAAATATCAAAAATGGGGTGTCAAGGGTCAGAGGAAACTCGGACTAATCTCCAACAAGTAGGTCAACTTTTCCAGCTTGTGATCTACTGTAACAGGTTGATAACTATGCCGAGAAAGATATTTTTCAAAAACTGAGTCTTTTACTGTAAAATACATCCTGTGTAGCGCCTCTAAATATCAGAAAAAAAAAAGTAAATGCAATAACCGATACTTGCTTGCGTTGGTGGCATTTACTGTCTGTATTGCCGGTAAATATCACAAAAATGACGTTTACTAGTGACACTGAAACAGCAGTAGAAGGAAAAGTTTGGGTCGTGTACTTTTATCATAAAGTTTACTGTTGACAGTGCAAATGTCACAAATAATGACAATTACAGTTGAGTAAGAGTAAAAAGGCCTTGGTTGTAAATATCATGGTTTCAAACAAAAGTTTTATATTTTCAAACGTTTTGCTCATTATATCAGTTATTTTGTGCGAGAATGCAATAGATGACTTTCCTTGTATTTCTGAACCAATTTGCACATACACACACACACACACACACACACACACACACACACACACACATGGCGAATAACAACCCTTTCAAGCGCACTGGATTCAGCAAAGGATCACATGTGAAGATAGATGCATTAAAAGCTAACGACGAACAGTGCGAAACTAGTAACTAACTAGCCTGGGCGATTTCGACTCTTAATAAGTCTTTTTCAAAGGCAAATACAAAACATATACAAAACAAACAAACACAAAAGCGTTGTGTTTGTAAAACTGCATTGCTGTCTCCACATGAGTTAAACCTATAGATACATTGTCTTAATCAGCTTGTATAGACTTGTTGCGAATACTGAAAAATGTTTATAAGTCCCCAAAAGTCTACGAGCCAAAGCGACATCTATTATTGTGTGTGCATTTATGAAACGCAGATTATATCCCGGATATTTGAGTCTATACCGGATGTTTTATTCTTATAGTAATAATTAAAGGATGCATATCTTACATGTGATGAGATAAATAACATTCTCTGTTTTGCATTGAACTTATTTGGAGAAACTGAAAAGCTACACAAAAGGATAAACCTTCATAGATTTGGTTTGATGTCAAAGGAGCTGTACAGAAGCCCGGTCGCAGAACACTTCTCCTCCCCTGGCCACACTTTCAGTGATATAACACTTATCGCAATTGCTAACAACCACAGCTGGAGTTCCGAAACCAGGAAGGTAAAGGAAACTTACTAGATACGCCGCCTTAGAACATTGAAATCAAGAAGACTAGAAAAAAGAAAACTATGCACTAGTAGAATTAGTCTTTGTAGCCGATAGTTTCTTTTCAAACTTTTTCTAAATCTTCTTAGTATCCTTTAATTATTACTATAAGAATAAACTATCCGGTATATAATAAAATATCCAGGATATAATTAGCGTTACATAAATGTACACAAAATAATAGATGTCGCTTTGGGTCGTAGAAATTTAGTGAATTATAAACATGTTTCAATATTCGCAACAAGTATATACAGGCTGATTGAGATAATGTATTTATAGGTTTAACTCGTGTGGAGACAGCCATGTAGAGTTTTACAAAAAAAACATTTTTGTGTTTATTTGTTTTGTATATGTTTGTATCTGCCTTTAAAATAGACTCATTAAGAGTCAAAAGCGCTCAGGCTAGTTAGTTATTAGTTTCGCACTGTTTGTCGTCAGTTTATTATATATATATATATATATATATATATATATATATATATATATATATATATATATATATATATATATATATATATATATATATATATATATCTCTGTCCCCCTGATTTATCCTGTCTATTTCTGCAAATCAATCTTTGCAGTTATTCCTTAGTATTTGTAGAATGAAAGGTTTTCATTACCACTGTATTCACAAAGGGACTGTATATACGTTCAGAAAACGTTGTAAAATGATTTTCTATTAATAAAGCAACGGATGTGACATTATAAAGGTATATTGTGTTTAAAAGTAAAACTGTGAAGTATTCGACCTTAAGGAACGGATGAGCACCACTGTGTTGAAGTTGCACAGGGAAATCAGATTTGCATAATGTTTGTCGCTAAGTTTAAAATTCACTGTTTATATTACATGTACAATTTAATAGCATATTTTACATTTACAGTATCTATTCTAAAAGCTGAAAGTGCAGAATAGCGAAAAGATGTGATAAGTCCTCCAAATAACCTGTTTAATGTCATGTACTGTGGCTAGCAGACATCACATTTTGACATTTAGATGCAACTTTAAATGCAATATCAGCATTTGATGTTACTTGTAGTATTTACTGCTTGTCACATTTAGTGGCGTTTGTAATATTTACAAGCGCAATATACACTACAAGTAATTTATCAAATGAACGTTTAAAGGAATGTTTAAAAATTAAAATTTTCATGTATGTCCGATATGACGTTTAACTCGTCTTCACCAGCTAAAATGTTTGTTTAACTAGGAGAGTGTATTATCCAAAACGTGTATATAAACATCCAATTGAATGAATTGGAATGCAAATATGTTGCTGCAATGAAAATAAGTATCAGCTTGACTGTTACCTCAGTTAATTCTTTTTTTCTTGAGTAAAGTAGAATTATAGAAAAAATTTTTTTTAGCTCTGGCGCATAAAAGATGGCTTGCACACCGTATTCTCTTTCATGTAAATCATACTAGGGTGTGATTTTATTGTTATTGTTTATTGTCTCACCACCTGGAAGCATGTATATTTGTCATCCCTCAATCATCAAGTAATAAAAAATTATTTCAAAACACATCATTGTGAAAGGCATTAAAATGAAGTATTGAACATTTCCCTGAAATAAATAGTAAATGGCAAGACATCAACAATATTTTATCCAACCTCTAATACGTTTGCTGAGAATTTATTGGTTCAGTCATGTAGCATGAAAAATAGGTATTCGTAGATTTTAGTATTTGCACAGTGGAATGAAATTGCATATATCAATATACATTTAATATAATTTTGTTGAAATAACCAAACAATCGTAAATAGCAACAGACAACTGTCTTGGCTTGTTATAATAAATTATTTTGAAAAACAAAATATAGTAGCGAAATTCACACTTGAAAATTGAAATTTTCTGAGAACATAAAGTCGTCATCGTGACACTTTATAGAGCACGCATTAAGGCATCGAATGAGTCTAATAGGATTAAGTGAAGTTCTCACAAAACTTGATACACTGTACGAATTTCTTCAAGACCACACTCAACAGTAGTGTTAGTACGGGAGATCTGGAACAATTTATTTTTCCTATGTAGGAATGCCAGGACATAAAAAAAAAACTGTAATTTACAATCACCAGAGCGGCCAAAAGAGCGGTTCTCTTTAATCTTAATTACTAAAACCACTGACTGAAATATAAGCAAGTACGGTCTCATTTGCTAATTTTGGTTTTTCGCCATGCTAGCAAGTGGTCCATTTCATTCGTCTCACAAATGAATGGTAGATTAATTAATTCAGGATGCAAGGAAATATGTAATTAAATAAATTTGTTTTAGGATGGGCTATAAACAATTAGCAAGACTTACATTTGCTTTAGACTTTAGTGTAGCTACAAAAAATATATTTTTTATTACTTGCTAATGTTTCTCTGTCATTTTAAAATATACAGCAATGATACAAAAATAAGAAACTACCTTTGCGGCATCTGATCCGAATGTTTTAAGTACATATACAGTTGTGGTTTAGAATTTAGATAATGTATGCAGAAAGGGGAGTCTGGTAATCTGATTTTTAAAAAAAATTACGGTCAAGTAACTCCAATCTGTATCATATATAATCACATTCATTTGTAGCATCAGTAAATAATATGTGATGTGATTAAGATTTTTAACGTAGCTTTAACAATTTTTCAGTCATATAGCTACGATATCTGCAGTGTGGCAGTTAATAGTGATGTCTAGCACTGGGGCATCATGTTGCATGATGTCCCACCCAGTTACATTATCCTGGCATCAGGCCAACCAGTCCCAACACTAACCTCCTAATGCTAAGCGCCAATCGAGGCAGCTGTTAGTACCATTTTTGTAAGTCTTTGCTATGACTCGAGCGTGGATCTAACCAAGGACCTCTCGCATCCGAGGCGGACGCTCTAATCACTATACCACCAGAGCGGTCAGTACACAATATGCAAATTCGCCTCCAACATTATATGCAGCATGTGCAATGCTTTCTATGTAAATTGTGGATGTATACGTAAACAGATGTAGGAATACCAGGTGAACTGGAGAGTTGGCAACTTAACATATTTCAGGACTCGGATTCGCAAGCAGTTAGATGGTAAAAAATACCTCCACTGTCCTTATGTCCTCGGTGGTTAAGGGGTATTACAGGTTCGCATAAACCAGTTCGAGGCAACCAACACTTGTAACTAGATTCGAGTTCCTTAGTGCTGGGGAATAAAATCCAGAGTGGAAAAAGATATTCCTGGAATTGCTGTTGAATAAAACAATAATCGACAACCTCAAGCACTTGGTCATAAGACTGTAACTTTAATTGTATGTCCATTTCAATATATTACTTTTTTACATACTTAAACATATTTTTAAATCTGCTCCTTATAAATAATTAATGGTTGCACATATGCAATTTGTTTGTATGTGCTAGCGTGTACAGATATAGCTATATGGAAATGCCTATACCCAAAAACTGAATTATATTTAAATAGTTTTAGTTAAATAATAAAGCATTGTTAAACGTATTTGAATTTTTTTCTTAAATCAATCAAAGTGAAGACTTCTAATAGTGATAAAGCGATGCGAAAACAATTTTTCAAAAGTTATGTCACTTTGGTACAGTTTTCAACTCGGAAAATAACTGAGGCGAATAACTAATATTTAACCAGAACTACCGCTTCAAGAATTAGATATCCATTTGAAAGACATTTTAATATATTGCTGATTTTATGGTGTTAGGAATAAGACTTTGCATTACCTTTTCAATTAAATAAATAATAATTGAAAACGATCACTATCGTAACAATCGGACGTTACTATTGGGCTCATTCAATCTATACAACAGGATTGTGCCCAAGGCAGGCATATATGCTGACCGCGTTTTGCTGTCATTTGGGTTGATGAGGTTCAGTTTGTGGAGACAATATCTAACAAATCTAAGACACATACGCTGAGATTCTCAAAGGTACACTTGGGAGTTCATAGTCATATTTATACTGGTGCCATGCTTGCTGATGATTAAGGCAAAGTACATCAAATGCCATCGACAACAGTCAGACGCATTAGCTGGAGACTTAATATGCTATTCACTACCATTTCACACACCATCTTGACCATATCTAAATAATGTTCTCTTTCGCATTTTTTCTTAATTTACTCAGATGTTTTAAAATTTTGGAACTTTTCTACTTGTACGATGTATTCAATTATTACTTCAATTAAGTTAAATCTAGCATTGTACTTATTGTTCTTTTCACAATTCAATAACAGTCTAAAAGAAAAGAACTGAAGTGAATTATCAGGCGACTTATCACGCCTAAAAGAATTACGACGGGATTAAATCCTATATTTACAGATGGCCATATGGTATGCTATTATTTTACGGTACCTTCAATAAACTCGCTATACTTCTGCATGGAATATCAAAACTAATATTCTGAAAACATGCAGTTTAACACGGAAAGATTTTAAACTTTCTCATTCAATGTATAAACTATACATCCGTGAGAATAAATTTATATATCAACTTTGTGATCGCGAATACTTAACTGGTAAGAAGAGTAACTTCGCATATAATTAAAGAAATACACATTTTCAATATCAAAATAAATGTTTACGTGCCTATAATATGATCCTGATGGCTTGTAATGAAGGTGGAAATAGATTCAAAGATAGGCCAAAGGAAATAAGGAAAAGAAAAGAAAATCAAAGAAAATCAAAATTTAAAAAAGCATGATGAGTACGAAGAAAATCAAAATATTAAGAAAAGCATGATGAGTACGAAGAAAATCAAAATATTAAGAAAAGCATGATGAGTACGAAGAAAATCAAAATATTAAGAAAAGCATGATGAGTACGAAGAAAATCAAAATATTAAGAAAAGCATGATGAGTACGAAGAAAATCAAAATTTAAAAAAGCATGATGAGTACGAAGAAAATCAAAATTTAAAAAAGCATGATGAGTACGAAGAAAATCAAAATTTAAAAAAGCATGATGAGTACGAAGAAAATCAAAATTTAAAAAAGCATGATGAGTACGAAGAAAATCAAAATATTAAGAAAAGCATGATGAGTACGAAGAAAATCAAAATATTAAGAAAAGCATGATGAGTACGAAGAAAATCAAAATATTAAGAAAAGCATGATGAGTACGAAGAAAATCAAAATATTAAGAAAAGCATGATGAGTACGAAGAAAATCAAAATTTAAAAAAGCATGATGAGTACGAAGAAAATCAAAATTTAAAAAAGCATGATGAGTACGAAGAAAATCAAAATTTAAAAAAGCATGATGAGTACGAAGAAAATCAAAATTTAAAAAAGCATGATGAGTACGAGGTCAAGATCATTCATTATATACGTGTAACAAGATCCGCTGTGGTTGGGTCATTATCTAATACACGGCAGTAAAATACTTCGGATAGGCAACTAGCGAAAAAATTAGATGCGTGGAGAAAAGGTATTCGAAATACTAAACAACTATGATACCGCTTGCATTTTAAAAATATACCGAAGACTCCATTACACTTGTATAACTATTTCAATGACTTATAAGCAAAAAGCATTGTCTTTTGATTTATCTCTTCATTGGTGACTACCAGTGTACAATATCCAAAGTTCGAAAATTGCGATCTACATTTAAGTACACTGAAAATTTAATTCATTCACTACCAAAACCTAAAGCCTAATATGTTTTTATTATATGCTTGTAATCTTGTAACATGGATCTGTGTTTATATATGTGGAAAGTATTGACATATATGAATGTCATTATATGCATATAGATATGAAGTGGAAATTCGTTATCAATTTAATTTAAATCTGTTTAAAGAAAGTCACTTTCAAAGATTTCTTTTAAAACATTTATATGCATATATTATGAGTATATTATATGGGTAAAAGCAATTCTGAAAGGTGGACCTTATAGAGTGTTGTTGTACAGACACCACTTCAAGTGTTCTATGTTGATTTTATATTACTGTGAGCGAAAGGCGTATTGAAGAACTAAGAATGTTGCCAAAATAAGTTATATATTGATCTAACACTATCACGAATAAAATCATTCACAAAGGGTATCTAAGAATCAATGTGTGTTTTCATCATGATAATTCATTAATATTATATCAAAAAAGATAATATTAAATACAATATTTAAGTTCTCTCTCTCTCTCTCTCTCTCTCTCTCTCTCTCTCTCTCTCTCTCTCTCTCTCTCTCTCTCTCTCTCTCTCTCTCTCTCTCTCTCTCTCTCTCTCTCTCTCTCTCTCTCTCTCTCTCTCTCTCTCTCTCTCTCTCTCTCTCTCTCTCTCTCTCTCTCTCTCTCTCTCTCTCTCTCTCTCTCTCTCTCTCTCTCTCTCTCTCTCTCTCTCTCTCTCTCTCTCTCTCTCTCTCCCTCCCTCCTAGACCTGTATATGCATTACCTTCGTGAGCACCCGAAAGTCGATGGTTAGAGAAAATGTAGACGAGAGTTTGTATTCGATAAGCTCTGCTTGATTTGTTTTACTTTACTTCAGAGCTTGAGTATTCGAACGAAGAGCTAAATTAGTTCGCCTTTCAACGAGGTGCAAGCTTAGTATATGTGTGTGTGTGTTTGTGCGTGCGTGTGTGTGTGTGTGTCTTGGGGTTTTAACAAAGCTTAAAAAAAATTCCAGTCATATTGCTACGATGTCTGCTGTGTGACAGTTTATAGAGCTGTCTAGCACTGGGGCATCATGCCGCAGATATGTGGCATCATGTCCCACCCAGTCACATTATAATGACACCAAGCCAACCAGTCCTAAACCTAAACTCTTAATGCTGAGCGCCAAGCGAGGCAACTGTTAGTACCATTTTTATAAGTCTTTTGTATTACTCAAATGACTCAAACTGAGCATGAGAATAATACAACTAGATTAAGATTATATTTGGTATGCAGGGATGTATCACGATTTTGGATGAGTTCAATTGTCACTGACATCCATATGCATTAGTAGGGTTCCAGGGTGATCCGATGGTGGTATTTGAACTCGCATCCTCTGGCCAGAAATCCAAGACCTTAATCGCTGTGCCACCAGTTCAATGTTGATGGAGGTTTTGGTGATTTTTAATTGATCATGGGATGGAGTGATGGTCATATTGGTGCCCCTGACGTGTAATGCGAGATCACTTACTGTATGCCAATTGTACAGATAAATTCCCCTGGTAATGCTGAATAAGTACATTTAAATTAAGGATAAACAGTTTCTAAGTCGTAAATTTGGGCAATGGTCCCATCAGCAAACACAAATCAGGAGAATGTTGGTTGTATCGATGACTTGTACATTTTATTCAGAAGGTGATCCATCCTGTCAAACGAAATAAACAGTATTGGACACTATCCTGTCTGTGCTCCAAGCTTTTCATCCCTCTCTGCAGTTTCAATGTGCGAATCTTCATTTAGAAATGGTACGTTAACAGTGTGTTTGAGTGATTGTTGTGCCTGTACCATATTATATGGAGGTGACATAGAGTTCAATCGTTCCCCGTATAAAGACCTCCTATTTTCGATTGTTGGCCTTACAGGAGTGTTGGCCTCACATAATGTATATAAGGCATAAACATATTATTGCATCAGCATGATGATCAGTTAGAGGTCGTAGAAGACGCTGCACAACTACAAACTGGGACACCTCTTATGGGCGCATTTCCATCATCTCTCGAGACTAACGGAAGCCAACAACTACTATGGTCATCATCATCCATGATAATATTGATTTACCACCTGAGTCCATAAAAGAGAGCAGCCGTTATTCGTCAGTGATAGATTGTATCATTGTTGGCATCCACAATGAAAGTTTTTTTTTAAGTATTACTTTATTAGCATCACCAGAAGGCCGCCAGATTGCATCATCATCCGTAGCTTTTCTTACAATTAAAACTGTATGATTGGATCCGAAAATAACCTTTCTGACATTTCTGCAAA